GGGTGTATCTAGATACACCCCATATCGCTCGCGCAGCTGCACTCTGGACCAGCTGTAGTCTTCGAACACTCTTCAGGGGCAGCCCCATGTAGAGCGCGTTACAGTAATCATCATCCACTGATGATGTTAACTAGCTGGGTAATGAAATGTCTGCAAGAAAACAAGCAAGCTCAGAGAGCACCAAGGACCCCTCAAATAAGATTCTATCTCTATCTATATCTAAATCGGTGTGTGTGTGTGTGTTTTCCAGCATAACTCTGGAATGCCGCGAGCAATTTCAACCAAACTTGGTACACAGATGACTTATTCTCTGGAAAAAAATACTGTGGGGGTAAGACAGCCCTAACACCCCTCAGGGTGTGTATTTTGTTAAGATACAGCCTGTTGTGTGTTAAAATGGCTTCTACTGTACCGCCTTAAAATGGCTTCTACTGTGCAGCGCAGTGGAGTTGCCATGGTAACGGCTTCACACTACTCCACTACTCCCTTTAGTAAGGGGGAAAATCCAACATTAGAAATTACGTTTGGTCCAGACCTTTTCCCCCTATAAAGAAATACCAGGGCAACACCGGGTTATTGGCTAGTTATTAATACATGGAGGCTAACAATTTATCTACATTTAACTAATCATTTTGACAGCCCTCATAAAATTTCTCAAGGCCACTCAGCGCATGGAGCCAAGTTAAAACCTTACAAGATTTACATGCAGGATTTCTGAGTCATTCTCAGTTTGGCTAGTCAGTGGGACAGGCAGGACAGTGGTTCCTGCATTCAGCATCAAGTCAATATAGAGAATTACAGGAAGACCCCCAAAACAGACATCGCTGGGAGCAAGACACTGGAGGAAAGAAGACGCCTAACCTTCACATCTCATGTTGTCTGGACCATCCACCACGGGGATCTCATGCTTCTTTATACAGGTGTCACATTGCTTCCCTGTCAGGCCATTGGTACAGGTGCATTCACCTGTGCGGGGGTTGCAGGAGCCTCCTTTACACTGGCATTCTGTTGAGAGAACATTGAAGGGCAAAGATTTGCAAGCAGGACTGTCTTTCGGTTCACATTAACCGGCATGGGATTAATGTAAGTGCTCCCTAGGGAGGTTGCAGGTGACAATTCCAGGACCCCGGGACGCTGCAACCATCAAGCCAAAGTTTGATTCCGTGACTGTGGGGATGCTGCAGCAATGTGAAAACTGGTCATGGGTCACTTTTTTTCATTGCTGTTTTAACTTTGGAGGGACACTAAATGAACAGTTGTAAGTTGAGAACTATCTGCACTTGCAACAAATTGAGTTTTGAGATGCGGAGACTCTAGAAAGAGTGCAGAGAAGAGCAACAAAGATGATTAGGGGACTGGATTAAAACATATGAAGAACAGTTGCAGGAACTGGGTATGTCTAGTTTCATGACTATAGCAAAGAAGGACTAGGGGAGACATGACAGCAGTGTTCCAATATCTCAGGGGCTGCCACAAAAAAGAGGGAGTCAAGCTATTTTCCAAAGCACCTGAGGGTAAGACAAGAAGCAATGGGTGGAAACTAATCAATAAGAGAAGCAACTTAGAA